GCAAAAGGCATATACGATGCATGGAAAAAAGTAAACTGTAATAAATAACAGTCGATTTATAATAAATAATGATCAACTGCTAAAAATTACCATTTCAAACAGTAAAATCGTGATTTTACTATTCAATTTATAATATTTACCATTTAAATGTTACAATTTACTCTTTACATGGAAGAAAATACTATTTCAAACAGTAATATTCGCTATGTAAATGTCTAAAATGTTTAAGTATAATAATTAAGAATTCAGACTTTGATATTTATCATTTGGTAGCTAAAAAATGATGTTATGATATGTAAAAAGTATAAAATAAAGTTAGTAAATTTCTAATACAAGCAACGTCAATATTTACAAAGTAAAATTGTAAATTTTAAACGCAACGCTAAAAATCAAACTGTAATTATTGACTTGCTTGGACTAGTAAAATGTATATTTTAAAAGTATAATTTTTACTGTTTTAAATGTTAAATTCTCCCAGAGTGAGACCCCCTTTCTCTTTCATCTAAGTTCCCCTTCTCCTCATAACATGGACTATATATTGAAATTGCAATTTTTACTGTTTGAAACTGTAATTTTTTAAGATGAAAGAGTCGTTATTTACTATAGTGACAGCTACTAATCACTTATTTTAGATATTAAATTATAAATTGTGGCTTTTATACTTTCTATATTAAGTTCTGTAATATTTATATTTTTGCCACCCCGATGTCCGCTTTACTGTTTGAAACTATAAAAATTAATCGGAATCCGAGTGAATATTACAATTTACTTTTTTCCATGTATGTATATTTATCTATCTTTTGGGAAATAAATAAATAATAAATAAATTTCCAGGACTTTGATTGAAGGCGATACAGAAGCTGGATTTTCGATATTTTGGGCCGACGATGGCTTGGATACAGGCCCTATTTTGCTACAAAAATCATGCTCAGTTGATCCAGATGACACTTTAGATACTTTGTACAATAACTTCTTATATCCAAAAGGTATCAAAGCAATGGGCGAAGCAGTAAATCTTGTAGCGAGTGGAAAAGCGCCTAAAATACCCCAATCTGCAAAAGGTGCAACCTATGATGCGTTATTAAATAAAGAAGAATTGCAGAAGATTGATTGGAAAAGTAAATCTGCGGTACAAGTTCACAATTTTATTCGAGCGTTTGATAGTACACCTGGTGCTTGGACAACATTGGACGGTCAAAAAGTCCGCTTTTACGGATCGAAATTGTGGAGTGAAGAGAAACCTGAAGGAGATGTTGTCGACGTCGATGGTAACACTGGGATTGTTCATGACAGCGGTTTGTTAGTCGTCACTTCAGATGGAAAATACGTGAACGTCGAGAAGCTTAAAATTGGAACTAAAACGATTCTGGCGTCCAAGTACGGGAAGGTCAGTGAATCAGCGAGCATCGACTTTACGGATGAAGAACAAATAAATGTTGAATCGATAAGACAAATTTGGAAAAGTATTCTTAACGTGGAAGTAGACAATGATACAGATTTTTTTGCTTGTGGTAAGTTTAATAGTTTTTGTTTATTTATACACATTTATATTTGTATATGTTATTGGCACTTGGCCTAAAAAAAGAAAAATAAAATAATTGAATCCACAGGTGCTGGTAGCATGGACGTAGTAAGACTGGTCGAAGAAGTTAAAGACCTTATTGGCGTAACAATGCAAAACACAGATGTATTTATGGCACCAGTTTTCATTGAATTCGCAACGTCAGTCATTGCAGCAGGTAGAGGAGCTTCTGGAGCCGGGAAAGACGTTAAATATGATGCTGTTGAAGTTCGTGCAAATAATCTTGATTTAAAATTTCCACGTCAGCTTTTTATCAACGGGCAGTTTGTCAATGGCCACGGTAAACCGATACCTACCATTGATCCACATGATGAGCATGTTATATGTCATATTGAGAGCGCAACTTCTGAGGACGTTGATCTGGCAGTGAAAGCTGCCAAGAAAGCATTTGACGAGGGAGAATGGAGCAAAATGAGTGCCCGTGATCGTGGTACTTTACTTTTTAAGTTAGTTTTTTTTTTTTTAAATATTTATCTTATAAATGTTAATATAGTACTTAGGAAAAAAAATTAACTTGCATTAAGTAAATAATTTTGAAGAACTTCATTTTGTTGATTTGAGTAGAAAAATTCTTAAGCTGAGAAATTTTTTTCGATTTAGGTAAATTTTACTTAATTCAAAAATTTCTCGTCTTGACACGTGCAAAAAAAATTCTGATTCAAAATGAATTTAAGATTGAAATTCATATTTTGACACAAATATGAATTAGTTTTAAGATCAATCCAAATTTGAGATTGTTTTGTAGATAGAAATTAGTACACCTGTAGAACTTTCGATCCTGATTCAGAATTTTAATAAAAATAAGAATATTTAGCATAAATTTTATACATAAAATATTCTTAAACAGGATCTTTATTAAAATTCTGCAGCAGGATCGAAAGTTCTACAGGCATTCTAATTTCTATCTACAAATCAATTTCAAATTTGGATTGATCTTATAACTAATTCATATTTGTGTCCAAGTATGAATTTCAATCTTAAATTCATTTTGAATTAAAATTTTTTTTTGCACGGGGATTCAAAATAATTAAACTCTTCAAAATTATTTTCTTCGTTCAAGAATTTTTCTCTTCATTCAAGGTAATTTTTTTTTTTTTCAGTTTAATTTTAACTGTCTCAAGTATTTCATTGCATACTTTAAGAAGGGCGAAGACAGTATAATTATTTATTCGTGTTTATTAAATTTAGAAAAAATTTTTAAGTAAATTAATCAAGATTCATTTTTTTTTTTTTCGATAATTTCACTTAAAATTTTTTGTAATTTTTCATTAAAAATGAAAGCAATATAACGTTTGCGTGATTGAAGTATACATGTTTGTATTTACCAATCTTTTTAATGCATTTTATGTATTTTTAATTAAAACAGGTTGGCAGATTTGATGGAGCAGCATAAAGAAGAATTGGCAACGATTGAGAGCATCGATTCGGGAGCTGTTTACACTCTGGCTTTAAAAACTCATGTAGGAATGTCAATTGAAACGTGGAGATATTTTGCCGGTTGGTGCGACAAAATCCAAGGGTCAACTATTCCTATATCGCATGCGAGGCCAAATCGTAATTTAACTTTTACCAAAAAAGAGCCCATTGGAGTGTGTGGTTTGGTTACACCTTGGAACTATCCACTAATGATGTTGTCATGGAAAATGGCAGCCTGTTTAGCTGCGGGGAACACTGTTGTAATGAAACCAGCTCAAGCTTCACCGCTCACTGCTCTTAAGTTTGCTGAACTATCGGTTAAAGCGGGTATTCCACCTGGAGTTATTAACATTGTGCCCGGTAATGGCTCAGTGACAGGAATGTCTATCGTCAATCATCCACTAATTAGAAAGCTTGGGTTTACTGGTTCTACGGAAATCGGGCAAATGATCATGAAAAGCTGTGCAGAGAGTAATTTGAAAAAAGTTTCTTTGGAGTTAGGTGGGAAAAGTCCACTTGTTATATTTGAAGATGCTGATTTACAGCATGCTGTCAGAGTTGGCATGAGCAGTGTCTTTTTCAATAAAGGAGAAAATTGCATCGCTGCAGGTATGAAAAAAAATTGTTTTTAATATCATTGACAGCGATGATAATTTTAAAATAATTAAAAAAAAATTTTTTTTTAATTTTTAGGCCGTCTCTTTGTTGAAGATAGGATTCACGATGAATTTGTGAAGCGAACTGTTGAAGAAGTTAAAAAAATAGTTATCGGGAATCCGTTGGATAGAAAAACATCTCACGGACCACAGAATCACAAGAATCATCTAGATAAACTGATCGAATTTGTAGAGACAGGTGTGAAAGAAGGCGCGACTTTGGTCTACGGTGGAAAACGATTAAATAGACCAGGCTGGTACTTCGAACCGACTATTTTTACCAATGTCAAAGATGAAATGTTCATTGCTAAAGAAGAATCATTCGGTCCAATTATGATCATATCCAAATTTAATTCTAACAATTTAGATAAATTGATAGCACGTGCTAACAATACCGAATTCGGGCTTGCTTCAGGTGTTCTTAGTAAGGATATCAGTCGAGCTTTGCGTTTTGCTGAAAAAATAGATGCTGGAACGGTATTTATTAATACTTACAATAAAACTGATGTAGCTGCACCGTTTGGTGGATTTAAACAATCAGGATTTGGCAAAGATTTAGGCCAGGAAGCACTTAATGAGTATCTCAAAACGAAGACTGTTACTATCGAATATTAAATATTTATATCAATTGAATTTATACATTTCATTATAATATTTCTATTTTTATTTATTATATAAATTGTATTTTTATACTTTACATATGTGAAAATAATTCGTACAAAAATGAAATTGAATAAAATGAATAAGTTAATTTTTTGATAATTTTCATACAATAAAAGTTGCATATTTTATAAAAAAATTTGTATAGATTTCTAAAATTCCTTATCATTTAATTTTAAGATAATATAGAGGTTGAATAAACTTAAGGCTTGAAAACTGCGGTATAATCGAAAATTGATTAATGCTTACAATTTGTGCGCAACTATAAAGAAAATGAATAAAACTACTGAACTATATGAGGTCTTTGAACGGGAGCACCGAGTACCAGGTGAGATTGAAGTTTAAAGCAAACACAAGTTACTAAACCATAAAACTGTGATACTTTTCTCGTTTCCCCTCAGCATCTGTTTAAATACATAACTTTTTTCTCCAAGAAACTACTAAAATTCTAGTGGAAAAATTTATATGAAAAAAACAGCGATCTTACTGATATCTATCGCCGTTGGCCTCTTTTCATTCATCGCGTGTCAACTTCAGGTCATTTTAGATTCTGGTTAAGTGATGAAAGATTCTTCTACTCTACTCATGTAAAAAAGGAATAAGAATGTTTTAGAACAGTTCTACAAATTTAAAGTTAAAGTAATACAATTTATAAATAAAATTGTTATTTTTCATGCGATTCTTACACGCGAGTTCAATAAAATGACCTTACAATACATCTTTGTAGCATATCTATACATAATTTGTGACACTATTTAAACTTTAAGTATATGCACATAAATAATTATACACTAAATTCAACAATTTATATTGCGGTAATAAAATTTTTCTTGTTGAATTGATGATAATTATAATTTCATTAAATTTTATTGTTACGTGCTTGAAAATTAAAAATTGATTTCAACCTTTCACTATTTTAAGATAATTTTTAAAAGTTGAATAATTTTCAAAATTGATAATTTCATGGCTTACTATATAGATCACTTTTTATTGTTATAATAAAATATAGCAATTATTTATTTATTTATTTACGCCAATCGGCAATATACATTTAATTAAATTTATTAGATATATAAAATCAAATAATATATTATTACATGATGGTGAGGGGACAGATAAAATAACAATTTTGAAAATCAGATCAGAAGAAAACTTGCAAATGCTAGAATTATTTATTATAAGAATAATATTTCTTCATTAAAATTAAGTTAGCCGACATCTAAAAATTTTTAGAATTTTTTTATTAAAAAAATTATTGCAAAAAAATAAAAACAAACTTGAAAAACTGTAAGTGCAATTTTTTAAAAATATTTTTAGTTCTAATTTAATAAATGAAAAAAAAAAAAAAAAAATCAAAAACGTCGGCTGACTAGTATTATTATTTCTTCTTAAAACCTCGATAAAAAATTTTCAAATATTTTTGTAAAAAATTCGGCATTTTTTTAAAACAATCATTAACAATAAAGTAAACAAAAATATTTATATTTTTCATCGATAAAATAGAATCATTTAATATAATTTTGCAATATAAATACTTCTTTATGAGATGTATACTAAAAAAAAAAAAAATTAACTTAAATTAAGACCAAAAATTATTGAGTCAAGAAGAAATAATTTAAACCGAAAAAAATTTCTTGGTTTAAAAATTTTTTTACACAGCAAATTAGGATAAAGTTCTTCAAAATTATTTTCTTTATTCAAGTTAATTTTTTTTATATGTATAAAAAATGAAATTATTATAAAGTTCAATTTAAAAATTAACTGTTTTCATTGTCAAGTAATACTGTGTGTAATTTTATCAAGTTTCTTCCAGTAGAAAATTTAATAAAATTTCAAACAACAATTTTTTCCTAGATCAAAATAATTTATCATATTAAGTAAGAAAAAACAAACTTGATAATCATAATAAATTTACGAGTAACCAAATGCTCTTATGACACAGCATAATAAGTAACTCGGTGCAAGTCTCAGCTGTTCTCATAAACATAATTCTCTCAACTTTCCACGCTGTACTCTTTGCCACTTCCTTTGAACATCGCCCCTAATATTCCATCATAGTACCAGTACAGGCAACAGAAGTGAAATTACACACCAAACCATTACATCCTTACCAAAGAACGGAGCAATCCTCTTCTATATCTATATCTACATTATGTCTATATAATAACACATTCTGGACCCCTCAATCCTCATTCGTCTGTTGGCTGTCTCAAACGCGCCCATCTGATACAACATATTTTATATTATGGGACCATATAACAACACATCCAAAGATATTGTTAAATATATATTTATTGCAAACAGGAAATGCAAATTTCCCACCGCATAAATGGATGCCATCTTCATGACCTTGCACTTTTCCATTGCGTTTTATAAATTTATGGAGGAAAAGAAAGCCGAGATCGGATTGTTACTCTTATCACTGATAGAAGGATTTCTTTGTATTTAAGAAATCATTTCTTAAACATCATTTCTAAGCATTTAAAAAATATTTCTTAACGGAAAAAAGTAAACTGTAATATTCACTCGGATTCCGATTAATTTTTATAATTTCAAACAGTAAAGCGGTCATCGGGGTGGCAAAAATATAAATATTACAGAACTTAATGTAGAAAGTATAAAAGCCACAATTTATAATTTAATATCCAAAATAAGTGATTAGTAACTGTCACTATACTAAATAACGACTCTTTCATCTTAAAAAATTACAGTTTCAAACAGTAAAAATTGCCATTTCAATATATAGTCCATGTTATGAGGAGAAGGGGAACTTAGATGAAAGAGAAGGGGGTCTCACTCTGGGAAAATTTAACATTTGAAACAGTAAAAATTATACTTTTAAAATATACATTTTACCAGTCCAAGCAAGTCAATAATCACAGTTTGATTTTTAACGTTGCGTTTAAAATTTACCATTTTACTTTGTAAATATTGACGTTGCTTGTATTAGAAATTTATTAACTTTATTTTATACTTTTTACATATCGTAAGATCATTTTTTAGTTACGAAAATGATAAATATCAAAGTCAAAATTCTTAATTATTATACTTAAACATTTTAGACATTTACATAGCGAATATTACTGTTTGAAATAGTATTTTCTTCCATGTAAAGAGTAAATTGTAACGTTTAAATGGTAAATATTATAAAGTGAATAGTAAAATCACGATTTTACTGTTTGAAATGGTAATTTTTAGCAGTTCGGCTGCCCAATTTTAAAACACAGTAACTGCAAAATTTTTATACCTGATTTTTTTTAGTATTGCTGCATTTCTTATAACTTTTAGACCTAAATTTCAAATATTTTTTCTTAAAAATATTTATATTAAAGTATTTTTTATTCATAAATCAAATTTTTTATCAATGTAGCGTGCGAATTTTTTTTTAATAAGAAAAATGTTTAAAAATCTTAAAATTGTCAGTTACTGTTTTTTTTAAATAGGGCAGCCAAGTTGATCATTGCTTATTATAAATCGACTGTTATTTATTACAGTTTACTTTCTTTCGTGTAGTATTTAAGAAATATTTTTTAAATACTAAGAAATGATTTTTTAAATACAAAGAAATCTTTTTAAATACTAAAAAATCCTTCTATCAGTGTTCGTATCAAGAGTTCAAGTGAAATGCATGCGACCGGTAGATTGCAGGGTAATCCCTTGCATCCCTTAAAGTTTAATGTGATGGATCGTTGGATCATACAGAAACAGCATAGCATGGGGAGGAAGAAATTGGACACAAAGAATACTTTTAAAGGCAAACTGAAACGTTGTGCTGGATTTGGATGTGGATGGAAGAATCACCACGTGTTGTAGTTAGAAGTTCCCTTTCCCCCTAAAATTTTACACTCCGCCTTGGACACCCTATGGGTCTAGCACATTGAATCATACTGAGCATATATGTTCGTTGTAGTATATCCAATCCGACGCTCAAACACTGCTACTGGTGAATTAAGGCTTCAGTTTCATTTCGGGTGTCAAACTTACACCATGCGCTTACTTTCTCACGGATCAAAAGTTTTATTTTTTCGCGCCTTTTTTGCCCTTTGTTTTTTTTCTTCTTCACAATTTTACACAATTCGCACCGTTAGAAGTAAACATATGGGCAAATATAAATTAAATTATTTATTATTTAATTTTAGTGATTAAACTGAACAAAATTTTTAATGAAAAAATAATTAATTTTCGAGTTTTTTATTGTGTATTTAAAATTTATTTTTATGTAAATTATTTCACATGTATTTTCATTGAAATTATAAAGTTTCAATTGTAAATTATTATTATTTCAAAGTAATTATAATTAGTATTGAAAATATCTAAAAATATCATTTTTTGGAGTATTAAAAGTTTTGATACTTAATTTAAAAAATTTCAATACGGTTGATTGTAAAGCAGTTGTATCGGAGTTATTACATGATAGTGATGCGTGTGAAGCATATATATTAAAATATATAATACAACTTACACGAGTGTGGTATACTTATTGTATATAATAGTGGGGCGTCATAATCTGACCTTACAATACGACATCGGTTTAATATAATTTGTAATTTAAACTCCGAATGTGCATGTATAATTTACTGATTTCGTTATTTAATGTTTCATTAAATATTTTTCTTAGTCTTTGATCGTAACAAGTAAAATTTATTACATGAAAATAGATATTTAAAAATAGTGTTTTTTATCGATCGATATATAAAATCGATGAGTTATTCGTAATTAAGTCTTATCTTCCGAAAATTAATGGTTTTTTTTTTTTTTTTCTGGTTATGTTATTTTATTTATACTATTTATGAGGGTAATGTTGCGGTTATATTTTTTAAAATAATTTTTTTAAATACCAGATGTACATTTGTATTTTCATTCCAGATGTTTTCAATTTAACTATTTTACAATCTCGCTCCGACTCCCCAGGATTGTTTGAATCGGACGCAGCAAGAAAAGAGCAAGCCTGAGTATTATTATATCTGTATGAGAAGTTACAGAGACCTGTGGAGGGAAGGAAAATAAAGGGAGGAAATTATTTTTTAAATGGTCTTTTTCACAGGACAAATATATCACCGAGATAAATTCAAAGTTGCTGAAGCAGTCTTTCATGTCCGATTCTTTCATTAATCATTGGTTTAAACTGAATTTTTATTATGCTCGCCAACGATAAAATCGGTAACAATTTTCATATTTATATTGTATAGAAATAAAATTTAAATATTGGTACACTAAACAATTTTCACTGATAAATTTTATCTTTTAATGAATTATTTATAAGTATATTTAGATTTGGTTATCAATTTTTAAGTGTTTACGAATCAGGACCTTTGAATTTAATAGTTCGAAGTGTTATTTTTTTTTTTTTTTTATTTACGTACTAAGTTTCTGTGAATTAATAATTAAATTGTTCATTTTTATGATAAATTTAATTTTCAAATTTAAAACTAGTAAAAAACGTGACATGAAAAAAAAATTGTTGCTAAAAAGTAATAATTTCCACCTAAATAATTCAAACAATAATTAATCAATAAAATTTGTTTTTTAAACGATGAAATTAAAATTTATCAGGCCAGTTTTTTTTTTTACATTGATCAAATCAATAAAACAATTGCAAAAATAAGCGATAATTTTTTATTGATAAATTTTATTTCTTTCTTTTTCCTAACTAATGTTCAGCCGAAATTTTAAGACCCTAGTATAAAAAAAAAACCAGAGTATGACAAAGCAAATTAGAACCCTAACATCAGGAGTAATTTATACAAGCAGTTTCTACTTTCGCCGTTGAAAAAATTAACAAGTCATAACAAAGGTAATAGGTTTTTGTCATCTATTATAGAGTTACTCGGGTTTCAAAGGGCATTGATTTTTTAAAACATATGTTATATAAACTATTTTATTCAAAATTTTTAAAATATAAAAAAGCAATTTTCTCTGTAGTAATTGAAAAAAAAAAAACTTGTCATAATTACGTTGAAAATTAATATAAATTTTTTTGCGCAATTTTTTATTATTTTGGACAAAAATTTCAGTAAATATCATTTAAATGTTATTTTTTTAAGATTCTGCAATTTTAGAATAAAGTAGTTGATATTTTATCATTTGATAGTAATAACAAGTAAAATATTATTTTTTTAAAATTATTTTCCTTTCAACCCAAATGGTAATACATATCTCGGCTGAATGCGATTACCCGCCCCTTCCTGTTTCCGCGTTTCTTTTAATCTCCAAGCCACAGTATCCTGTGGTCACAATGAGATGTTGGCAATAATATAAATTTTGCTTGTTTTAAATACTAGTCTTAGTTTTGACTCAATTACTGACGTAGTCACTCAATATTAAACACAACTGTATTTATTTTACTTTTTAGTAAAATTTTTCATTTTTTAAACAGTGTATATAAGTGAAGTTAAATGTTACTCTAATTACATTACGGCTCATCATAAGGCATCTCGCTTGATTTTAAAATGCTAGCTGCCTCTTGAAGGGCAATGTTGTGATTGGATGAATTCAACAATGCTTATTTTGAAATTCGTAAGAATAATTTAAAAAAAATTATTATTTAATTTAAAGAAAGCTCTAAGTACTTGCAGTAAATCATTGAATAATCATTAAAAATATTTTTTTAGTACCAATTTTATTTTTAATTAAAATATTGTCTTTTTTAATGACTAATTTGAATGCTTAGTTTATGAATAATAATTATTATTATTAATAACTAAAAATAATAATAATAATAATAATATAAAATGCTGCTTCTTAAAAAAAATACTTTTAAAAATTATTTTTTAGTGCAATATTTCTACAAAACATTTCTTAGTCTCAAGTATTCTTTAAGTTCATCTTAACAAGTCTGTTCATAACAAAAATTACATTTTAATTTCATTGATTAATTCGAAATGTATAACTTTGTAAAACTTAAAGTGATTTGAGTAAGAAAATATTTATTTTTATTAATATTTGTTATCTTCACTAATTTAGAATATTACTGGGTATAAATGCCGCAAAATTGTAATGCTATTAATAAAATAAATAAAATAGTTCATCAGTCAAATTTTTTTTAATATTATTTCCATTAGTATTAAAATAAAAAATCGAAAAAAAAAAACTTTTAAAAGAGACTGTTGTTGTGTGTAAGAGTAAATAAAATTGTCATGTTGTGCTCATCGTTTAAAATAATTTAGTATACTATATGTTCTCTTATATACATATCTATAAAATTTTTTTCACATAACACTTAAAATACTACAGTAGTATATTCAATATAGGATAAAAAATTATGTGAGATATTAAAAGTAGTATTTTAAGTGATACTGAAGAAAGAATGTAATAAAAAAGTAATTTGAAATAGAAAAAAAAGGTAATTGTCTTCATATTGAAAGTTATTGTAAATAATAATTTTTTGTTTAATGTATAATTAAAAAATTGTATTTATTAGCAATATTGTTTTCTATATATCACAGAAAAAACTCTTCTAATATATTAGAAAACTATGTTACATTCTATATTGACTCAAAAAATTAAATTATTGTCATATTTTTACTCTCAATAATATTGATTTTATTTACTATCATAAAAACCTTGATCGCAAAAAAATTGAAGATTTTTTAAACAAATATGATAGTTATGTAGTGGAAAAGATAATAAATAAATTTATCTTTAAATAATTAAGTGCTGATAGATGTTTAATTTAAAACATAATTGCTTTGTATCATTTTTCCGACCCGCCAAAAAAAAAAAAACTAAAAATGTATTTAAAAGACTTAATTTTTATTAATTAAGAAAAAAAACCATACTTATTAGTAAATAATTAAATTTGTTATAATAAAATTGGAGGTCATTTGATTCATAAAACACTTGGGAGTTTTTCTCCAGGGAAAAATAATAGTTCAAATAAGTTATTACCCCATTAGAAGCACTTAGTTATTTATGACGAACCGGGCAGTTCTAAAACCCTGAAATTGGTGATACAATGATGCCTTAGAACTTTCACTATCTTGATTTTGCGCTCGTAAAGAAGAGTATTAATTTGCTGGTAATGACTTGACACAAAACTCTAAGAGTATTTTCTAGTTTACTATAAAATAGAGTGCAACCTTGATAATTATAAGAATGATAATAATAAAAATAATATTTATTTCATGCCTGATGAATCATCCTCAAGTAAAAGATTGTTATTTAATTGATTGATACACGATAAATAATGAATTAAAGATCTTGAAAAATGGTCTTTTATTATTGTTGTTGTTATCACTATTACTACTCCTATAACAGTGTTATCAAAAAGTTGGTTTTAATTAACTATTAAAATCCGCAATTTCAATAATATTATTTTACTTAACATAATTAAAATGTATATGAGGTAAAATGGAAATTAAATTCAATTGAGTAATAAAACATGCATATATCAGGATAAACTGTTGATTTTATCTCTTTTAATCTATAAATTTCAGTCTCATCTAAAAAATAATGATTGTATGTTGTTAATTAAAATCTTTGATATATTTACAAATTTCTATTATATATTTGATAATTAAATTATCAAGATAATAATTACAACTATGTATAGTAACTAATTAAAGTAACTTCATAATTGATGGTACTTGTGTAGAAAATTCAACAAAAATTTATTTTGTAATTGTGATATTTTAGAATTCAATAAAAAAAAAAATTTCAATTTTTCTACACAAATCCCATTTAAAATAATTTTTTTTTCTCATAAAAAATAACGTAAATATATGATGTTAAAATCTAAAATAATATTTTTTTGGTTTGTGATTTAAAAATAATATTGATATGATAAAAACAAAAATAAAATAAAAAAAAATAGTTTGTTCTCATAATGATACGGATATCATCGAGTAATTGTATTACAGACAGAAGTTACACCGGTATGTTGACATTAAAACTAAGGTTTCATAACATAATCTTCTTTACAATATTAATAACGAATTTTCACATTACTTAAAATACATTACTAAATTAAACCAATGGAATTTGTTTTTCAATTAGTAATTTAATATAAGAAATTCATTATTATGACTATAGTCAATTTTCAACTAACTATTTTCTTAATATTCAAAAGAACATTTTGTTATTTTATTTAATTTAAAGTCTTAGAGATATAATTTAAAATTTTTTTTTCTTCTCTGCACTCACAATGAATAACAATGGCACTTGTTATTCACAATTATATTTTTAAAAAATCCATAAAATATTTATCTCGTCGTTTTCTTCTTTTTAATAAATCTTACGTCATTTTAAATTTAAATTATTTAAGGTGCCATTGTTTCACAATAAAGCACTCTCTTTTATACATTGTCTAAACTGCACACGACGCACATTTTCCTTTCATCTCGGACGGAGATTTTGGATGCGACATGTGGCCATAAAACATTCGCAAATTAATTTCACCCTTAAAAAAAAAAAGAAAAAAAAATAAAAACTATTAAAATTAAAGATTATCGACATTTTAGCTACTCCATTGAAGAAGAATAACTCCGACTGGGATCAACTAGTGTGGTAACGTCCACACCCGAGGCGTTGCCGAAACACTTTTTAGTATCATCGTTAATTTTTTATCTGCTTGTCATATTTTTAATAGTTACTTATTGACTTGTAATAGATTTAAAACATTCATTTGTGGTCACCAGAAGTGCGATTGTACATAACCACCACCCATTCCTATAGGGTTGAATCTATGAGGATGAATTTTTTCCATTCTCATCGCACCGGGTCCACCACCGCCTCCATTCCCGATAAAGCTTCCGTGGTGTCCACCTCGAGCACCAATTGGGGTTGCTCTTCCGACTCCGGTCACTCCGGTTGCTACGGCTCCACCAGTTGCTGCTCCACGACCTCGGCTACTTCCACCTGAAAATTATATATTTATTATGTTTTGTAACAAAAAACAAAATTGCTTAAATTATTATTTATTAAAATAAAAAATAAATAAAATTATTCTCAAATAGCAACTTCAAGCAAAATTAATGCTAAAGACATGATGATTTATAGATACAAATATAAATATATAATAAAATTTTATTTATAAATTAAATTGTTGTAAGTGCGAGCTGTAATGTTTACATAAATAATTTAAAAAATAAGTAAATAAAATACGAATTTTTTGTGAAGAAGTTAAGGAAGAAATTACCTCCTGTCCATTCATCATAATTACTTGTGAATTTATTTTATTTTTTGACGCTGTTTTCAACTACTTAATTTTAATTTTTCACTTTTTCACGAATGCATGTCACGTTATTGTTAAATTAGTTATTTAATCATTTTAAATGTATAATAAATTTTGTAATCAATTCCCACTTTGTTGTCAATTGATTGCTGTGGAAATACTTAATATTATCTCATTATTATCAATAATACTAATAATAACTTTGTTTCATCAAAAAAAAAAACTAATCAAAGAAGTTTTTATTAATTGATGAATAAAAAATTTTATTTAAATGATAAATTTGAAAACAATTTTCAAGTTACACTGTTTTTTATATTCATCACTATTTAAATCATTAGAAAAGTTATAAATATATAATAATAACAACAATTTAATTAATTAATAATTAAATATTAATAAACATAAAAAAGTACATTTACATAATTAATTTTAAACATTTTATATTTTGGAAATATCAATTATTGTAGCGGCTTATTTTGGATGGTAACGAACATATTAATTTTCACATCAATCTTAATAATACTTTACAATAATTATTATTGTTATTAAATACGTAGCATACATATTGTGTTTTATGACTTTATAGAATTACTTATTAATTTAGTTAAAGATATTAAGAAGAAATCACGCTTATTATATTTTCTACTTATGTTGATTTTTTTTAGTAAATAGTATTGGTATCATTTATCACAGCCATCGTTGCTACTACCAAACTTTTCTTGATTGATCATTCAATATACGATCCATTAGTCATCATTCTTCTACATTGACGATTTTATTTATATACAAATATCTCTTGACCATACATTTTTTAATTTAAAAGTAACGTAACAATAATTGCATTTAGTATTAATAATTTATTTGAAGAATTCCCGAAGATACTATTTATCTATTTTCTATCACAATAATGTTTGAAAGTTTGATATTTTTTTTTTTTCATTTCAATTATATCAATTTATAATAATATATATTTTAGGTCAGTAATATTTTGCAATATATTTAATACACAAAAATAAAACATTAAAAAAGAAATTTTGTAAATCAATTTTTTCATGCAAATTTTTATCAAGTAAAACGAATATTAGAAATAGTATAATTTAAATACTGAAAAACAATGAATAAATAGATTAAAAAAATTTTGAATAACTTTTACTCTCTGAAAAATATATATTAATGGTAATAGAATATCTATAACTTTAATTAACATACATTTTACATCTAAATTTGCTTGAGCGTATTTTTTACCACTATGCCTCTAAGTAGTAACTATAATTAATACATCAATTATTTTATGCATTGATAAGCGCCTTATAACATGATTTTATCTTAACGAATGTATACATTGATATATATATATATTGACATTTTATAATTCAACGATCTAATTACAGCCGACAAAATTTTAAATAGCACAAGTTGCGTGAGTTTTCAATACTTAAATTTATTACTCTTTTATTATCATTATTTAACTGATAATGATTAATCAAAGAAATTACACAATAATTCATTTTTTATTACAGCTCACTACTTTGATATTTAGCTATTTAAAAATTATTATAGCACACCAACTATTTTTACACTAACATAAATTTTCTCAATTACAATTATAGCCTAGATAATTCGCAAAATTAACACACTCATTTTCTCAGCAACTTAAATATTACTCATACTTTTATATAAATAAAGACATGGTATATTTGAAAAATAATTTAAATCTTTAATTTGTATAAATTTAAAAGCTGTTATTTAAATTATTTATTGAAATTGGAAAACTGCTGATAGTTTTTCCTCGTTCCATATAGACACTCTCCTTCGCCAAATGGTAAGCAGTAAAATAGAAATATAAGATTAAAATAACTTTAGAGGTATGCCTCTTTTGTTATTACAACTTTTTTTTTCCTTTTTATAATTTATCAATGTTCGATGTAAATAAATAAATTTTTTAATCTATTAGTTGAATTAAAAATTTTCAATTAAACACTCATGCATACAGTATAAATTAATACAATAATAATAATAAAGCTTTAAATATAAATGCAATCGCAGCCAATGTTGTATTTTTACATTAATTATTTATGCACGCTTATTACAGCTCAAGCAAATATTATATAAAAATTTTTTTTTATTATTTTAGTCATATTAGTAACAATGATTTGATTTTAAATACTTAAGTACATATCATTAATATTATGATCATGTCATAGTTTTTTAAATTTATTAGTAGGGCTTTATGGGTCAAGATAAAAAAGAGCGTGAAATAATTACAAAAAAAAAAAAAACATCTGTATTTAGTGTCAAATTTTTTGAACAATTTACAAAAAACAATATACAAAAATCTTATAATAGTACAAAAGACATTTGATTCAACTTATTATTTTGTGTTTTGTTTACAGTCAGTAAGTCAAAGTTGAACAATAGAAAAATATAATAATATAATTAGTAATTATTAATAACAATAAGTGAATCCTAACAGATAAAAACAATTAATAAACTTACTGTCAGGAAGTCCAAGTTTAAATTATTTTAATAATTATAGTAATGGTAATAGTCATATTAATAACAGTAATAGTACGATTGTTAATAATTAAATGAGTAATAAAAATAAAACATTCTATAACAAATCCAATTGACCCCAGTCCAATGACATTAAGAAAATCCTGACATAGTGAAACCAAGGACAGACCCGTCCTTTTTTTAATGTAGTCTTCGGTGGAAAGGATAAGTGAATCCAGCGCCTTAGGTTTTGATTTTTAACACAGTACAAACACTTTTTTAAATTAAGTATCTAATAGTATACAGTACGCTTTTTTTATAATTCCGCAAATTAATTAATTAATTAGTTAATTACATTTATTGTTCGTTGATATAATTTTTCAACGCGAAATTTAAAATTTGCGTATAGTCGATAGACCAGACTAATTTCAATTTTATAATTATGATTGCGTCAAGTTGGACTAATTTTTGATAAATTACTTCTTTACCATTGCTTGTAGTTATATTAGTAAGAATATTATTATAATTATTAATAGTATTATAATTAATATTTATTGATATAATATAGTTAATTGTTAATTAAGTTAATAGTTGATTTTTTGACTAGTGCGATAAGCTGTTGAGAGCGGAGTTAGGTGCGAACTTCTTATCTGGCAAAACATTTTTTAGATTAGGGTTAAATGTTTACGCGGAAAAAATGGGAACAATAGAAAAAAAAAAAAAAAAAAGTAACAAATAAACCATTAAATAGTAACAATAAAAATTATAAACAAAAAATATTAATTAGTTACAGCAAACTAGCCGTCATTGTCAATTAATATCTGACGCAGTGCTTAAAGTTTTAAAGATTACACATGCTAGATTTCCTAACAGTTAAAATGTATATCCGTATAAATCAATATATCAATACTACAATAAATATATTAAGAGATTAATTTTTTACAGAGAAATAAGCGACGGCTAACGGCTATATCCATGTTATAACTTACAATGCGTACCGAAAAACAATACATTTACAGCAATTATATATTTGTCATTTATTTTGCAATGAAAAAATTTTTTCAGCAAATCGCGATTATAATAACAAATATATTAATTTATTAAAATATATTAGATTAGTTGGTGCATTTTTTTTTTTTTAGGTAATCAATTGATAAAATATTCATGTCTATTGCAAAATTTTCTTGTTTTAAAATAATTGAAATAAAATAAATAAATAATAAGAATAAAAATAAAAATAAACAAACTGTTTAATACTCACCACGACTTTGATTGTATCCAGCCTGCCACCCAGCGTAATAAGCTGCTTTTTGTTTTCCGTGTTCTTCCGCGATTTTAACACACAGTGGCTCTGAACCTCCATCGGGTATTGTACCATTTAAATGATTAATTGCTTCTTGTGCTTCTTCGCGTTTATCATACCTGGAGAAAAGCCACATAAATTGAATGAAAAGATAGATTGAATTATTGTTTGAGTAAATATTGATATCGAATACATTAAGTTATATATATATATATATATGTCTGCACATATATAGAATACATATACAAATATATATATATTTATAGTTTTAAGTAGACACTTATTTTAACAACTTTCAACAGACTGTTATGGTTAATTTATTGTGCAAATATAAATTTTTGATTGTGTGCTTTCATCAAGTTACTTTTCAGAGTAAACTAGGTCACTTATAGAACAAACGTAAAATGAAATTGAGCAAAGAAGATTCGCGCCAGGTAGCTCTGGCTAAAATATTCTGGCACAGAATATAACTTGGCTAAATAAATATATACTCTCTGCGAAGATAGTAAATTGGAATAGCAGTATAAAGATTGAATTTAATTCTACTAAGCCAGCTGTTTGTAACAATTTTGAATTAAATCCAATTTGTTTTATTTTATTTTTTAACTCTCTAAAGGTTTTAATGTCATGCCAATTAAACGATTACTTATATTAATAATTTACCTAACAAAAGCAACTCCTCTAGGTAAGCCGGTTAATTTGTCTTTTAATATGTTCTTCTGTACTATTTGTCCAAATTTATTGAAAAGATCTTCAATTTGATTTTCCGTAACATTTCTGAAAAATATATATTACTTATTAAATTTGTTCAGAAAATAAAATTATTTTTTATCAATTACCTAGGAAGATTCGTGACATAAAGATTTGTTTCTTTAATTTCTTCCCCGGATGGTCTTGCAAACGATACTTTTAATCGTTTATTTTGAACTTGTAATCCGTTGAGCGTATTTATTGCAGTAGCAGCATCTTCTGCTTTTGCATAATTGACAAAACCAAAACCATAACTGTATCCAGTCTGTAAGTAATAAAAACAAAAAAGTATTTAATTTTTAAATATAAAACTGCTAGTAAAATTCGATAGAATTTTTTTATTTTTTTTTTTTTTTTTTTATTGCCAAGTTCTTGGAAATTTAGGCATTTAAATTACTTAAACATATTGTTTGAGTTGCCTGTGATATAATTTCCAGGAACCAATAATAAAAGAAAATAATGATAATAGTACTTAAACTTACTTTGTAATCTTTCATAACTCGACAAGATTCAACTGGTCCGATAGTTACAAACATACTGTATAATTCCTTTTCCGTCATACTTTGGGGTAGATAATTAATAATAAGATTAGTACGAGGTTCATCCCCAGATAAGTTCAGTTGGTCATTTTGTTCGCTCATTTTGAAATATAGTTGAATAATAATATCACGTTTCAGAAACAAGTTGATCTAAATTTTATGATGCAATTAGTGTCACTCCTACGCGGAGTAACTAACTATTTTTTTTTCCTCTTTTCGAACCTCTTGTTGATGCCTTGTGACACTGATGGTGGCAATACGATGATTGAGTGATCCAACTGATTGCGTCGTTGATAAACATCGGGACGTACAGCAAATACAAAAAATATAAACAAATGCATTACTACTTTTATCCCGGATTCCCGCATACCAGTAAAAGTGACTCTGATTATGAAATTTTTTTTTCTTTTTTTAAAGAAGCAGTTGATAAAAAAAATAAATATAAAAATAAAATTCAATAATAAGTATATACGACGCCAGACCTGCATATCAGAAACAAACAAACAAATGCAATAATAAAAAAATTACAATTATTACATACATTTATACATATATGTATATATAAATATATATACATATATGTATTTATCACAAATAAATCATCACAGTTATTGTTGGCTTTAATTCATCAACAAATTTATTTTTTAGGTTATGCCCAGGAAAGCAACCAGTCCTTAGTAAAAAAAAAAAAAAAAAAAACATAAAAAAATTCATATTAATCAATTTTAGGTAAAATAAATAATTATAAATAAATTTATACTACTTAAATAATTAAATTATATTGAACAATAAAAAATAAACAACTATCGCATCATTTGAAATTTTTATTGGTTAGAAATTGTGCGTAACGTAAAGTGTCATAAACTATGATGCATTAGCTCTAAATAAAAAGCTTTTGCACAAAATCTAAACTATAAGCGTACTGATAGCTGTTAATAACAATAAAAAAATATATTAAAAAAGTAATGTATAAATAAATAATAAATAAAACTCACTATGTATATAAATCGCGGCGCAAAGGCCCGGGAAAACGCGGGTGTATCCAGGCAAACTCGTGAATCGACCAAGCTGTCAGGAACTGGTGGGAGAAGTAACGCGACAGAACGAGGACGCTAGAGTGGGGATATAACACAAGAGAAATAAAATGAGAAAGGGTTAATGCTGTTTTATTCAAGAGAGACTGAGAAATAATAATATTTGTTAAATCAAAAGAGAGGGCTCTTTCTCGGACTTTACTATACTTAACAGTTGAGAGAACGAGAAACAAATTTTAAAGAAGAAAAAATATTTAGTGAACACCTAAATAACAATAATAATAAACCTAAGAGGTAAAAAATTCACCAAGCGTTCTATTGTGTGAATTAACGCAAATACGATAGTAGTATTATATACGCGCGAACAATATTATATAACCATATATTTCATGACTTATTTTTTCTTCACACACTCGTTAAATCACTGACCGACTTTTAGTCATGTCCACTAGTTTTAAATATAACACATCAAATTTTGTTGATCGACATAACTTGAATTATATTTTATATTTTTATTTTTTTAATCACAAGTATGTATTATTTTCTTCTTCTTTAATTATTATTTCTTTTTTTTAAATTTATTTATTTATTTTATTATAAATAATAATAAAATTGTCAAATTATTTTAATAATTTATACTTAATATTTTTTAGTTATAAACTTATAAAAGGAAGTGATCAAGTACGGACAAATACGGACAACGTACTGAGCAGAACTGAGCCCCAGGGCCCCAACCCTGACCTGCCTCTCGCAAACACCCTTTCGGAGCTCCATATACTCCCTCTTTACACCCCTGTCGACCAACCAATGCAACCGACTATTATGCTGTAAAAAAAGTACGCCCCTTGTATCAATTAACAATGCAGCTAAATTAGGTAAAAGCATTGACAAATATAATTATTTAGTTGCTTTATTCAAAGCTTAAGCCCTTTAATGCAATTAGTTTGGGTTACATTGCAGTAAACAATGGTCATTGACGGCTTACTCATTAAAAGTACATAGACCACATATTATGATCTTTGTAAGTGGAATTTTAAATGTAAAATAATTTCAAGTTATGATTTAATGAAATTTAAATTATTCAGCAGGTGAATGTGTCACTGGAATTAACGAATAATGAGTAAATTAATGGTGCGAAAAATTTTTTGGCATTAGCGTAATTTTTTTTTATATAGAGTGTGCTGAAATAAACTAGTAAGTGGCATAGATCGTTTCTTGGCAGAATATGTAAACGATGAAAATGAAAATTGGGTAAGGTGGTAAGGTGGTATAATCCACCTACGATAAGAGTATTATAAAGTTAAACCCTACTTATTCCGATCGATAGCTGGTGAACTATGCTAACTATTCTTTAAAGTTATTCTTCATTGGATTTAAGTATTTGTTGAGTGACCAATTAAATTAACAATGGTTGAAAGGTTTGTTTTTAATTAAAAACCTTATCTCTTACGTTTTTAATAATGCAACACTATTGATGAAAGAAGTTCTTAAAGACTCTTGCCGCATTGTTTAATTATTTACCCCTTCTTTATCTTAGTGAAGAGAATTTTCGGGTGCAGTATTATGTCGCATTTTGCGGTGGTCGTAAACGTCTGCGCGATATAAAATTTATAGATCGTGCGCATTGACGCTCTGGTTTATATTTCCTGCTGTATTTATTATATATGTACAATTTAAATATATCTTTATAAATTTCTTACGTTATATGTTCGTTTATTAATGAACTTCGTAATCGATAAAAAATACTGTCACTGAACATTGGGCATACTTGCCCGTTAATCATTTTTTAAATTAAATATTTACAAAGTTTTATGCATTTAAAATTATACAATTAAATTGACAGGCTTTGATATAAAAAAAAAAAATTCATAAATTTAGTTTGAATAATCTTTGATATTTTATTTTGTAAAATACTGATTACAAATTATATTTTTACTAATAAATATTTAACGGAAAAAAAATTAGATTTTTAGGCAACAGTTTGTTTAATAAGTCTTAAAATAACAGTTCAGTTTAAATATTATCCATAGAGTTTTATATATCTAGTTTAATCATGATTCGATGATTCGATGATGCTTATTTAAACTCCACAAAAAATTTATTAAATCAAATCCATTGTTGGCTTTATTGTTTCATTGATTAGTTCTATTACTAATTTTAAATTAGATAAAAAATAAATTATTTTTTGGTACAAAAAAGTATTTAAAAAAATTGTTACATTCGACGTAACTTTGGCTTTTTAGAATTGATAATAAATTTCGGCTTTTTTCACCAATAACTTAGTTAGATAATAAGCTTCCGAATAAGTGCGTATTTTAGAAAAATTTTTCCCAAGTTACTCCGATTAATCACGCTTCAAATTGCAAAAAAAAAAAAAATTTGTGCTCATTGGAATTTAGTTTTAGGACAAAGACTATATTCAATAGGATAGTAGTAAAAAATGGTATTAAAGTAAAAAAATAGCGATACCATTATTATTATAAATAAAGCCCTTATGATATTTTTTTTTGTCTCGTCGATAAATGACAGGTCGAAAATTTTCATAAGCTAAGTAGTGATGAGGAATGATTCTCGCGTAATTCGTAGGATAAATTACACAGCGTATGATTAATTATAGACCCCAAGCGATATATTATGATTATGATGCACATTCATAATCTTGAAAGAAGTATTAATACGTTTATCTCAGAGCAGCAAAGCCACGTTTTTTGATAAAACGAAATGGTCGGCGTGCTTCATTAGTCTCGTGTTTAGAAGAAGCTGACGATGGAACAGAATCATTTTCTTTATCCCAAGCATGCTTGGGTGATTCAATGCCAAATGGACTGTATAATTTTGTTGGAGTGCGTCCTAATAAATTTCTTGAGTAGGTTTGTGGTGTTTGAGAGTTACAGGGTGATTGTTGTTCATCTAAAATTTGTCTTCGCCTAGTTGAACTCCGGAATTTCTTCACAAAGAAGAAAATTTATATTAAATTTTAACAATTGATAAAAGTTTTAATTTAAATTCAAATGCAAGTATTTACCTGTGAAATAGTTCCAATAGTTGTTCGCACCGATATAATTGTCTTAGATAATTTTTCAGCTCCATTGCGAAATGCACGTCGTGAGTCCGCGGATACAGTACTCAAACTAATATTATTCCAGCTTTTATCGGCACTTTTAACAATTTTAGATTTTTCTTTGCTACTATCAGGCTTTTCTTTGTCAAATCGATCTTGAAGTCTTTGACGAAAATTTTTGTTACGATTTGGTGGAATCCTTGGAGAATTCCGGTCACTCAAAACCTCACGGTGGAATGTGAAAGAGACGCTTCGTGAATCAGGACGCATTATTTCAATTAAATAATCTTATTATACTACCTAAAATATATAGAAAAATTATACTTCAATTTTTTGTAAGTAAAAGTGCAAAAAAATATTGAACTGTCAAAAATAAAAATAATAAAAATAGTTACCTTTATTAAAGATTCAAAACTTGTAATAACCGTTACAAGAAATCGAATATTCTGTAACGGACGCAAATCCATCAACCCGTAACTATAATTACTTTTTTATTCCACAAAAAAATGCAATATTCTTGATTTAAATGATGTATTACAATAGATTATTTTAATGTCAATTTTGAAATTATTTAACTATATATTAAATTATTAAAAAGGAATCCAATTATCTCGTTTAAAATAATCAGTAAAAATTAAAAAACTACCAGCTACCATGTACTCTTTTTTTCAGTCTTTATTTTTCATCTCTACTGAAGAGCAGATGCAATAAAATATCGTTTCATTATTTAGCGGCAGGCGTCTTGTTGTCGGGGATGTTTGTATCGATCTGTCAAAAAAATTTTCAGTTGTTTTAAAAGTTTCTTAGACCCGCATTTAGAGGGCGTATCTCGTGTTAGTTTACGCGGTTCTTTTAAATTTTTAAATTTATATATACTGCATATATTTTTTTTTTTCCAAGAAATGTTTACAGAACAAGAACAATAATTTTTAAATTATACACTGTATTTATTAACTTGATATTTTTATAATTTTTTTGATTATTAATAAATTGTGCTGATATATTCGCGATTGATTAAAGACCGCCCAGGTGTTTCCAATTCTTCCTCTAAATCATTTTTGTCTGTAAAATGATCTATGATTCCTGCTCCAAGGACATCAGCAACGATATTAACAGTTGTTCGTATTCTATCTCTGAAAAAAATTATTATTTATTAAATACTTAATAATCCGTAAGTTAAAGAATATTTTTCATTTTATGATACTGAAATTTAGAGACATCTGATAGTTTTTAAAATTTTTTTAACAAATAAATTATAGCAAGAAAAATTTATTAAATAAATTTCATTTTTAGAAGCTTTAAAAAATTATAAATGCAATTTATAAGTAAATATAATTTTCTAGACTCAGCTTTTTTTTTTTTTTTTTTTTTTTAACTAAAAAAATTGTCAAATGTCTGCTAATTTAAGATGATACTAAAGTTAGCCAACGCTCAACAATTTTTCATTTTTTTTTTTAATAAAATTAAGACAAAAAATATTTTTAAAAAATTGCATGTGTAATTTTTAGCATTTTCTACATATGAAATTTTTTCTTTTCATTTTTTTTTTTTTTAATAATTCTTTTCATAAAATAAATTGTTAAAATTGTAAGATGTTGGCTAATTTAATTTATGATATTAAAATTAGCTGTCACAACACCATTTTTTAATTTTATTTAACAAAAAAAAGTTTTTCCAAAAACTTATTTTTAAAAAATTGCATTTTTTATTTTTTAAAATGTCTACACGTCAATTTTTTTTTTTTCTAATTGATTTTTGCCATAATTTATTTGTTAAAAAATTCTTAAAATTATCAAATATGTGCTAAATTAATTTTCTTTAATTTTAGTGTGATTTAATTTTATAATACGCACATAAAACAGTCAATCGTTATAATTAATGTGACATCTTCAGCAGGAATTCCAATTGATTCGAGTACAACAATTAACATTACGTATCCACCGCTTGGCAATCCGGCGGCTCCGATACAAGACACCGTGCAAGTTATTCTAAAATAAATTACATGCATTATTTATTGCTCTTGATGATTATTTTGTAAATTAATAGACTTACGCTATTGATATAATTTGCATTAAAGAAAAATCAAGCCCGCGTTGCTGAATGATGAATAATGCTCCAATTGTTTCATATAATGCAATACCATCCATATTAATCGTCGCGCCGATTGGTGCAATGAACTGAGACACTTTTGGATTAACACCGATTCTATTGAGGCATTTTATCGTCATTGGAACGGTAGCTGTGCTGAAAAATTACTTTGCAATTTCAATACTTTATTTAACTGTGTATGTTGTTGCTACTTTTAATTTAATCATAAAAGGACAAAAATTAGTAAAAAATACCTGGAAGATGTTCCAAGAGCTGTAATGATCGCAGGACCTGTTTTTAGCAGTAAAGAATACGGTGATTTTCTTGTACATATGAAGTACAGAAGAGGTAATACAATTAAACTGTGTATAAATAATCCAGCAAACACTACCAGTACGTAAAGACCCAAGTTGGATATCATCAATGTTATGTTTTCAGCTTCTAATATTTTTCCAGGTATCAAAAATAGAACGGCTGCCGGAACAATCCTGAAGGAATATTTTTATCATTTTTTGCGTATGATTGAATTTATGTTTTGAAATTATCAAAAATATCGAGCAAGAAAATATTTAAATCTTAATGACTAATGTAAAAGCAAACATTTTTTAATAATTTTACGATTTAAATTCTTTTATAATTTTTCACGTTATCCAAGAGCTATAAATAATGTTTGCAAATTATATAGACATTAATCAGTGGAAAAATTAGCTGACAAAAGTATACTTCTAGAATTTTTTATACTTATTTAAGAATACATTACTCAGATTAAAAAAAAATTTTACATGTATAAATTTTGAAATTTATTGTAATAATTTGAAACTTGTATTTTAAAAATTTTTGTATCTACAGATAAAAAGTCTCTCACTTTTTACGCTATCTAAAGTAACGTCATCTGATATTTTTAGTTTCGTACTTCGATAAGTAATTTATCATAAAAAAATAATTACATTATCACCCAGTCCATCATGAGCATGACTGTATCAGATAATGATTTAAAAAAATCATTCAGAGGCTTCCCTTTTTCTTCTAAGTGTCCGATAGCGATTCCCAAAACTAGACAAAATCCTACTATGCCAAGCACATTAGTCCCGTCGTTATCTCGATGGTGTATTTCCCAAGAGTTTATATTTTCATCTAATTATAAATAATTGAAAAGATTTATGAAAATGTAACAGTTGGTTTAAAAAATTAAATAATATAATAAAAAGTACCATTTGTTGAATTGAGTGGGCTCGTTATTTGCGTCTGATACTAAATAAATTTTTGTACAAATTTCATTAAAAAATTAATTAATTAAAATTAATTAATTAATTAATTACAAATTAATTTACCTGACTAAGAGATGCTTTTATTAAATTATCAGTGAACAAATTTCTGTAAAAATTAAATTTTATTTTTTTTTTTTTGTTCAAAAATGAAAAATAATTAATAACAAGACAAACGTACCTTAGTAAGTCTAAAAATGCATCAGCAGTTACAGATTTTTTGATATGATTAGATACTGTTGTATTTCTATTGACATAGAACTCACCGGGTTTTATTGTTTGAACGAGTGTGACAGCTAATATAATTCCAAGGGATGTCGTGGTACAATAATAATAAAAAGCCTTTAAGCCAATACTACCTGATTTACTTAGATAGCAGCTAGCACTTACTACACTCGATATAATTAATGGTAAAACTAAGCAATTTATTATTCGTAAAAATATTTCACCAGGAAATTGAAAGTACATAATATCACGCTCGGACCATTGTCGGTTACTATAATTTTTTAGTATTACTCCAATAATTACTCCACACATAACTCCAGTCAGTGTTAGTATAGTTAATCGATTTTCGTTCATTATTAATTTTTTTTATATTTACTTCATTTCTACTCAAAATAATTTTAATATTTATCAAATAACTATTTAAAGGAAATAGATCCTATCAATATCAAGAAAATGAACTTCTAAGCATTTGAATGAGTTATCAGTTTTACCGAAAAAAATAAGTGATCTCTTAAATTATCATCTTTGAGTAAATATACTGCCAACTGGATATACAATTATATAGATTAAAAAGTTTTATCAAGAGAAACAATTGCAATAAAATTAAAATATTTTGATAAAATAATTCGCTAATAACATTTTACAAGTAAGCGTCAGTCTTTCAAAAGACGCTGGTATCATTTATTACCACTTTTTAAATAGACATCATTAGTTAATAACTATCATTAATAATTATCTATATATTTCTATATTAATTACAACTTAACATATTAATTAAAAATTAAATAATCTAACATCTAAATCGTGTCTAACTAAAGGTTCTTTACTTAACAATTTTTCCATTGTCTCTAAATGTGTCAAGTGAATTTATTTGACTTCAACAAATAATTATAAAACAATAAATACCCGTTACAATTATAACTTTGTACTTGTACCAACAGGTTTATAAGGATCTCATATTATTTTTTTACACGATAAATATTATTAACTAATATCATGTAATTATTCTGTCATATACAAGATAGCGGATATTAGCGTAAAAAAAAAATACAATTTTTTTTTATACTTTTTTTCTTTTATTAATAAATTGATAAAGTAACTGTAACTTTTTAAGAGTCTTGAAGACTTTTATCGGCACATTGGTAGTAAGTTATTTTTTCTTTACTTTTATAAATTAATAATTAACAATTAAGTAGTGCGTATACTCTTATTTTCAATTGATTGAAAATTGATATTTCCGTTGTATAATAAAAAGATAAGTTTTAGTAAAAATTACATTAATATTACCAGTGGCAAGCTAAATAGAACTCGATTAATTATGCATTATCATCATTATTCAAAAACTTATTTACAATTTATTAAAATGTAATATTATTAGTTTCTTTTTTTAATATACCTGATGACTGATTTTCAATTACAATTTAATAGTAATTGAAAAAACTTTTCAACTAATCAGAATCTCATTAATATTAATTATATTGGCAATCAATTATATAACGATTCGATAATTACTATAAGCTCTCTCAAATAAATTTATAAATGATATTATTAACATATGTACACAATTTAATACATTAATGCACAAAAATTGTGCCAAGTAAGGCCTAAGAAATACTTTAAACATTAATGGTATCGCGTCACAAAATTCGATTATTATTTTAAATATTTATATATGCAAAATAAATATTGAATTTCGTTATATATTCAGAGGCCATAATCGTTTGTTACTATAAGCTATAATTACATAGTAGATCTATAAGATCCATTTTAAGGTTTAAATTACTACTATGCTCTTCAACATAGTTAATGAATTCATCCTCTCAAATATTATGAAGCGTACATTTATATACTAACAACTATATTATTATTATTTTTTACTGTGAAGTTTTTCTTATATTTTTATTTTTTTTTTTTTCACATGTAAACGTTTTATAGATTCTCATATAATGTCTTCAACAATTTGAACAACTAGAAGACAACGCAATTTTGTATAACAAAAAGTATGAAAAGTGCTGGATACTCATTAACATGATATTTATAACAATAAAAACAAAAAAAAAAAAAACACAGATACTAATAATGAAGTAAAATAATTTTTTCTAAACGGTCAATTTAGAGTGCTTTAAAATAAAAGCAATTGTATAATTAATATACATAAATACTTGGAATATCAATAAACACTTATTACAATAATTATTTAATATTAATATCACAAAAATAATTAGTTACAATATATTTGTAACAATTTACAATATATATTTTTTATTTTATCAATATATTAATGCATTTGATAATCATCAACATGTATACACATATCTTTATTTAAAAAATGTCTACGTGTGTTATTAATTATATGATTAATCACATAAATATGTTTATTATTAAATTAATAAAAATATTTAGTTTTATGGCAGTATTTTTTTTTCTCACGTAAAGAGTATTCAACACTTTGTTTTTTTTTTTTTAAACTTAATGAACTTTAACCGCCTAATTATAATAGTTACAAACAAAAATTAATTGTTAATGTTAACTTTAAGTAAATTGAATCACGATGGTTTGCAAGAAGTTAATTTTTTAACACTAATACTCGAGATCGGTCTACGCCAACGTCGTTTACTGTTACTAGGTGTTAATTTATTAGTATTACCACTGCTGGATACACTCTTTTGGTCACTACTAATGCCATCCAATTCTTCAAGTCTTCTTTCCTCTGAAAATTCAATTAATTTTAATTATATTTATCCTTCAAGATTTATATTACTACTATTTTAATCTTTAAATTAATCACATCCTCATTGTTGATTGAAAAATTATAAATAATCTCAGACAAAGCTACTATCAACGGTCTAATTTAATAGTATAATCTATACTAATAAATGGAGACCCGGTTTTTTTGTCCGGTTATATTGCGAAAACTACTGAACCGATCCGAATAATACTTATATCATAAGATGCAGCGTGTTTCGGTGAAGGTTTTAGTATATGATATGAATTTTTATTCTAATTAAATTTATTCTTTTCGATTGTCATTTGTTTAAAATAAATTTTTCAACTCTATTGGTTATGATTATATACTAGGTAGATTTCTTCATTTATGAGACCTGCAATTTCTTTAACTGAAACTTTCAATGCTCATTACAAATTTTTTTTTTTCATATCAATTAAAATAAAATGTTAAGCAAATTGACAAATTCTGAAGATATGTTAGGACCATTGAAGATTAAACAATCTTTCGTTGTACAAGCCTTAACTTATTATTTTCGTGAATGTAAAACTTTGTACTCTGATAGAGTAATCAATACAAGAGCTAGACAGTTAACTTTACCAAAAATCAATAGAACAATAAGTAATAAAAGTGCAATTTATGTTGCAATTAAATATTTTAATTTACTTCCTAATAATCTGAAAGAGCTAAATTATACCAAATGGTTAAGAAAACATATTGTAAGATGGATAAGATCAATTATACTTTAATTCATGATAAATTGTATTTATGTAAAAATTTTGTAAAATTAATCTTAATTTACTCTGTACACTATTTACTTAGTTAATTTAATATTATGTATTAATTTTTTATAAATGTATTATATTTTTCTGGTGTCTATGCACAGGTGCTTATTGCACCTCTATAGAATTGCTTTACCAGAAGTAAAATAAATAAATAAATAAATAATAAAAAAAAATAATTATTATTAATTTTTGTAAGAAAGACACGGGAATGTTGTAATGATTGCACATTGAAAGTTACAATGAATATATAATACTAAAGTAAGCCGACGTTTTTAATTTTTTGATTTTTTTTTCTCTTATCAAATTAGAACTAAAAAATATTTTTAAAAAATTACACTTATAGTTTTTGAAGTTTTTTACAAATGAAATTTTTTTTTTATCTTTTTGTTATAATTTTTTCAATAAAAAAAAAAATTATAAAAATTTTCAGATGTCGGCTAATTGAATTTTCATGTGAATATTAGCTAGAATAATTACATGGATAAAAGGTGCATGCCAATTCGACAGAATTGGGAATCTGTGCAAGTCAAAACAATACTCTAATTAAACTTCAAGTCTAGATCTAAAAAAGTAATTCTATAAAGCGCCCAGCGGAGTGGGCGAGTAATAGCTAGTATTAAATAATTTACATTATTAATCTTACCACTTAGCTGTCTAGCTGTATAATACATAGGTTCTTCATCACTCCCATAATAATAATCCATTAAATATGGTAGTACGGTCATTTTATGTCCTGTATTGCCTTTAATTGGTGGTATTTGTACTTGATCAGTTGTTCGCTCCGGTCGACAAATAGTCCATGGATGACGTCGAATTTCTTGCAGTGTAAATCTTTTCTCTGGTTCTTTTTGTAGCATACCTTCTAACAGTGTTGTCAGACTATTTTCTACTTCTTCTGGGATTGTATAATCACCCTTACCGATATTTTCATACAATTTATAAATATTATCACCTTCAAACGGATAAATACCCGTTGTTATATTATACCTGAGTTGCAAAAAAAAAAAAGAAAAAACCGTCTCAATAAATAAATAGAATTATTATTTGAGTCACCGTTACTTACAAAGTAACTCCACAACTCCAAATGTCAACTTTGAAACCAGCAAATGACTCGCATCCATTAGCAATTTCTGGAGGTTGAAATGCTGGAGTACCTTGTCCCATCGTACAAGTGTCGTCTTCAGCGAAAATATCAAAAGCCTATTGAAGAATTTTTTTTTTTTATTATTATTAATTATTAATATTTACAATAAATATTATATATTTGATAATAATTAATACCTCTGCAACACCAAAATCACTTATTTTTAAAGTACCATCAAGGCTAAGTAATAAATTTCCCGGTTTAATATCTTTGTGAATAATTCGTTTGCTATGGAGATATTCTAGACCATCTACGAGTTGTGTAAAGTATCCATGTGCTTGCCATATCGGAAACCTCTTATTGGCCGTACTTTCTAACATATCCTGTTAATTATTTCATATATATTTTATGAAAATTAATTTAGCAGATATTTTATAATTTTAAGAATTTTTTTAATAAATAAATTATGTCAAAAAAAATGAGAAAGAAAAAATTGACATTTAAAAAATAAAAAAAATAAAAAATCCAATTTATTAGAAATAATTTTTTGGAGCAAATTTATTCATTAAAAAAAAAAATTAAAAAAATTGTCAAGCGACTGCTAACTTTAATGTCTTATATATTTTTGATGTATTATTTATCTACACTATTAAATGAAGTAACAACTTACTTGAAGTCCACAAACGCAAAATTCCATAACTAGATACATTTTTTCTTTTTCTTCATTGTATAATACATCAATTAATTCAATAACATTCTTATGTTTTAGTCTCTTCAATAATTGTATTTCTCTGTAATTAAAAGATAGGATTAATAAAGTATTATCAAGTTCAAGTGTCTAGATAGCAGTTAAATAAAATTAAACGTCTCATAAAACTGCATAGATATGAGAAATTAATTTTTATATAAGCTACTACTATTGCAAGACTAAAAATAAACTTAGTTATATTTTTAAAAAGCAGAAAATAAAATTTTAACAATATAATTTTTCATTAAATTGAAAATAGATGTTTTAATTAAAAATAGTCGCCAGTTCTAGTATCTAAAAATAACATTTAATGACATTGTTTTTCTTGTCAACTGAAAGAATGTCAAAGTCTGCAGATGTTATTGATTAAACTAAATTTAAAAAATGGATAAGAATTAATTAATTTAACAAATATACCTTTGTACATTTTGTTCACCATTAGGTATCCTTCGTAATTTACGTTTTTTTAATATTTTGACAGCTCGTCTAAATAATGTTTCTGAATCGAGTACCTCCTTAACTTTGCCATAACTACCTTCACCAAGTAAATCGCCCATAACATATTTACCAATTAATTTACACCGTTTCTTTTTTTCAGCATAAATTATTTGATCAGAGTCAACTCTATGAAAAAAATTATTAATCTCATCGAGATCATAGTTTAAATTATCATCATCCTCATAATCATTCATCCAAGTTACTGGTTGAATATCAGCAAATATTTCATTATTAATATCTTCTTCATCATCATCTGGATTGTATATTGTCACTCTATTGTCCATTTTCGTCAACAACACTTTTTATTAATTCAAAATATGTCATTTAGATATTATTAGGTTTTATTAATATTTAACCTAAAAATTGTAACCGGCACCAAAATACATACCTAAGGAGTAACATTATTATTATTACACTTAAGAATTTTTTTTGTCGTTTGTAGGGTGTGTTTATTTGCTAGTCGTTCATTGAAAATATTCTTAAGCTTGATACAGTTACTTAAAGGGGTATATATAAGTTGTTTATTTACCTTCAAAATTATTTATTAACTATTCTTTCAGAGTTTTTTATTTTTTACTAAATAAATAGTTTCATGTTAATTATTATTTATTAAATCTAGTTTTTTTGTTCATATATTGCACATTGCACAATATTTTTTTTCTCATAAACCAAACAGCGTTTTGTAAACAGGTAATCAGAGAATTGAGAGCACGTTTGCAATCATTTTTAAGCAAATATTTAATTGTTTATTTAAAAAATTATTCTGTAGAATTTTTCAACTGAAAAATAAAATTTATGTAATTTACCAACACTTGAATTTCTTTTATTACTTAAAAATATTCAATTAGTTTAAAAAATTGTTCCAAATTCACTGAGATTTTATAATTAAATTTAATTTAATAAAGTTTTATTTTTAGATTGAATACGAGACAAAATAAATTATGGAAATTCAAGAAGAGGAATTAAATGTAGAAGATCAGTTAAATCAAACAGCTGATCTACCAGATGAGCAAGAAACTCCAGAGGAGCCTGAAAGTGTACCTGTAGCTGTAGCTGATGAAGAAGCAAAAGAAAAGTTGCTGAAATTACCTGTGGGAAGAGTTAAAATTATTGCTAAAACTGATCCAGAAGTTAACTTAATTAATCAGGAAGCAATGTTTCTTATAACTAAATCAACGGTAATTCTAAAGACTCGACATCTGTTTTTATCTCAACTAATTATAAATTGAGATTACTTTGGACAAACTTAGATCAACAATCAAATCATTTAATAAATTAAAAAATTTATGAGGGTAAATTCAGCAGACAGCTAATTTTTAGATTAATTTTAACTTAATGGATGTAAAAAAAAATCTAAATAATTGCATAGAAAAAACTTGTGAAAATTTTCATATGCATTTTTTTATACTATTTCTTCTGTAACAAATAAATTGTTAAAAAATTATCAGATGTCTGCTAAATTCATACTATGAAAATAATTGCTTTGATTGTTCATTTCAATTGTAATCAAAATACTCTTGATTCATTGAAATTTCAAATCAATTTAACAATATTTTTTTTTTTTATAGGAGTTATTCATTGATTCCATAGCAAAAGAAGCTTATAAGTATACGGTTCAGGCGAGAAAAAAAACAATTCAAAAAAAGGACTTACAACAAGCTATTGATAATATCGATGCACTTGCATTTTTAGAAGGAATGTTGGAACAGTGGACGTAATTTATTTAATATTATTTTTAAGTAATCAAAGTATTTTTATAAAAATTCCAATGAATAAAATAAATTTTTTACATTTAATTATCAATGTTTATTTATTTTACTAGTAATTAAATAAGAAATAATTAAATAAGAAAAAATTTTTTTTTATGTAGCCAAATTCGATTGATTTTTGTTCCTCTTTTTTAATTGAGAAAATATGATCTCATTTTTTGTTCATTTATAGTATCACTGATTGACGAGAGTGGTCAACATTTAAATATCAGTTAACAATAGTGTGGAAAAACGATGGGATATAAAAAACAAAGTTGATATAAGAAATGGATATGAAAAAGAAAAAGAATTGTTATGAGTACACAAACAATAAAAAGTGGATCCATTAGCCATTATCGATAACGATATACAAAGTGCATTGCTAAGAGATCATAAAAACACTCATGTATGAACATTATATCTCTTATTTGCGTTTTGTTTTTCGTCGACGGTTATCACTTTTTGCAGTCGGTTGTTCTGTAGTAGTAGTAGTCGACGTGCCCGATTTATTGTGTGTGTACAGATTATTTAAAAAATCTTCAAAATCAGCGTCACTGCAAAAAAAATATTTTTATTAACTTATGATCATGATGAACAATTAATTTAAATAAGTAAGAAAAAAAAAGACATACGTTGGATTAGAGTCCATATGTTGTCGCTTTTTGTTACCACTGCTGGGTGACTGAGTCGACGGACGTTGTCCCAAGACAATCCGGTATTGAACACTATGTGTATTTGCCCGTAAATGTTTGAGATTACCAGCTTGACAAGCAGCCCAATCGGTTACGTCATACACAGCTCCTTCCATACAAGCGTAATAATGCCATAAAAAACCCATAACTCGTGATTCTGCCCAAATATCGCCCTAATAACAATTATAAATTAATAATTATTCATTATTTTTACATTTTATACTTAACGGGACGCGGTGGTCCAGCGGCCTAAAATTTAAGCTATTTTAAAAAATTTTATTTTTATATCAAGGTAATAACTAATGCTTTCAATTTTTTTTACACTTATTCTATTACTTATCAACTACACAAAAATGAAAATCAAAACAAAGAAAAAATGTTTTTTTAAATAGAAAAATAGCGCTGAAGTTCTCTCCAAAAAAATGGACCTTACTGGTGGGTGCTGATTGATCTCTCCCTCTGATCTGAAATAAAAAAAAAATGACGGATTTTTAATTAGTATAGGTATAGTTATCGTTGGAACTAGAATGAAAAAAAAAAAAAAAAAAAAAAATATTTGACAAAATGGCGCGTAGTTAAAAGTACGAATCTGAAACTAGTTTTCAAAAAATATACTTTTAGCTACGTGCTATTTTGTCAAATATTTTTTTTTTTTTTT